AGGACTGCTTGAGTCCAGGAGTTTGAGGTTGCAATGAGCTATGATGACACCCCTGCACTCTTGCCTGGGCAACAAAGCAAGACTGTCTCAATACCTCCCCTGTCCCCCAAGAACCAAAACACCCACATCTAGAGCTACAGTGGACCTGTGCATGTACACAGCATATGAAACTGCAAAATTACAGCAGGCAGATCAACAAAGGCTTTCTTGTCTAGCAACCTCTCTGGCAGACTTATTATTAAAGTTCTCTGGTTCTCATCCTTTTTTTATTCAGTCAACTGAACTGTGAGCCCTGTCTGAGTCAGGCCCTAGAATACAGCAATAACATGGCAGCTGCCTCCATGTATCTTGGCATGAGCTACACACTCACTGACTCTCTCTCTCTCACACACACACACACACACACACACACACGTGCAGGGTACACAGAATGTGCTGATAGGAGCAGGCTTAGGACTGTGATTTCCTAAGGTGCTCGGCTGTGGGGATGGAAAAGGCTTCACTGAGGACAAGGTGTTAAAAGGGAGACATCACTGGATAAAGAGTGACCAAGAATTTTTTTTTTGAGACAGAGTCTCAAGCTGTCAACCTGGGTAGAGTGCTGTGGCCTCATAGCTCACAGCAACCTCAAACTCTTCGGCTCAAGCTATCCTCTTGCCTCAGTTTTTCTATTTTTAGTAGAGACAGGGTCTTGTTCTTGCTTAGGCTGGTCTTGAACCTGTGAGCTCAAGCAATCCACCTGCCTCAGCCTCCCAAAGTGCTAGGATTACAGTGTGAGCTCCTGTGCCCAGCTATGAGTGTCCAAGAATTTAAAACTTTGCCCATGTAGACAAATCTTTTGTGTTCTTTTCGGTTGCCGCTCTGCTACTCACACTGGCAATGGTCTGGGAAATGGCCAGCTCATACCACATATTGCCCCTCACAACAGCTGTCCAACAGAAACTGCAGTCCTCCTAAGCCAGCTAAACACTTCTCGAATGCACTCAATTCTCTTCTTTTTGAATAACTGAGAAAAATAGCCCCAATCATTATAAACATGCTTTCAAAGTCTTATAAATTTTGTTTGCTGAAATAAGTACTGACAAATGAAACTCCTACCTTGCTTCACTAAGAACCATCAGCCAGAGAAGTGTCCTTCTTATCCCTGGATTTCAAGGTGCCACAACAGAGATAAGCCTGGGCTCCCAGCCGCGGCCAGGGTCTGGGCAAGAGTTTTCCAAAGGGCCTGAACAGAGTCCAGGAGTAAGCAGGAGTGGGAGGGGTGGTGGGGAGAATGCTCAACAAGAGCAGGTGTACAGGCTCAGAGGCTGGACAGCTTAACCTGTCAGGGACAGCAGCTCAGTGGGGCTGTGCCGTGGAGAGGCAGGGAATGGGCCGGCTAAGAGTAAGGCCAAAAATTAAGACAGAGGACCGTAAACCTGTTCTTGTTGGTTTTGTGGCCCCCAGGGAGCCTCTAAAGATTTTTTTTCTTGGATTAACCAAGTGCTGCAGTGAGGAGGGAAAGAGCAGAAAACAAGGAAGTTCCAACTGTAACTGATCACGAATCATCAATTGGTTCACAAAACTAAGATTCAGAGTGCGTGTTCAAGGAGTATTGAGTATTCTATCTTCAACATCCTGCAAAGGGTTTTCAGCAGGGCAAAGCCACGATCACATCTACATTTTAAAATAATCTCTCTGGAGAAAGTAAGGGATGAAATAAGAGTAAGAGCCCAAATGAGTCCAAAGAACTCGAGTACGTAGAGGCCCCTCTAAAGGAGGTTGTGATCTACCAGGACAGAGCAATCAAGGCTGGGGTGTGAACAGCTGACGTGTCCCGGGGGCTGGCTGGGAAGAAGGAAGCACAAGGAGGCAATGAAGTTGAGGATCCAGAAAGAATTCATGAGGAATGAGGGTCCCCGCCCTGCACAGGGTAAAACAGGTGGGGAGAAGACGGAGAGGAAACAGAAGAGTTAAGGTGCTGTAGGTACTGGGTAAGGAACCTGTGTGGGGCTGTGAGCAAGGGAGTGGAGGGGAGGCTGGCATCTCCCTGGTACCCCGTGCCATGCATCACAACTTCTAGCTCAGTCGGAGATACCCTCTCAAGGGAGGCAGGCTATGAATCCCTCCATAAGTGAACCTGTGTGCCACAGATTTGGGCACCAATGAAGAAACATCATCATGGCACTGATGCCAGGCTACCAGGACACATGCAAGGGCTGAAAACAGACCTTGGGCACAACCAGTGCTGTCTCTGAGAAATGTAGCCACAATAAGCACAGTTGGTGGTTATTTCCATAACCTACTAGGCAGGATGACGTCACTTCCAGTCACACATCAGATATTCGTTTGGAGACTGCAGCTGGCAGGGAGCAGACTCCCAAGTCCCCCACACTGGTGTGACTGGTGTTGCGGCATGAGAAGGGAGTGAGCTTACTCAGCGGCATAACAAACGGGTGCAAAGCAGTTAAGAGTGCCAGCCATGAACATCTGGACATCCTGGGTTCAAATCCCAACTCTGTTGCTTACTGGCTGTGTGACCGTAGATAAGTCAGGTAAATTCTCTGAGCTTCAGTTTCCTCACCCCTCAGGGTTCCTGGGAGAAACAATGAGGCAGTGAGTGGAAAGCAAACAGCCCACAGTCAGCAGTTGAGTATCTGGTGTGACAGTGTTAGTATGATACAAAATTAGCCCAGCACCCAATGGGGCACACACTGTGTCACAATGGCTGCCACATATGGGAGGAATGCAATGAATAAAACTGGAATGCATGGGGACCTGGGGCCTGCCAGAGAGCCTGGCTCTCCTGGACGCAGCACTGCCATATGGACATGAAGAGTGAGGACACCAGGCGGGGGTGAGCCAGCTCTGAGAGGGTAAAACCTCAGCACAGTCTGCAGCGAGCGGTGAGGCAGCAGGTCCCAGCCTAGAATCCCAAACCTCCCTTTACTTTTCTTCCAAATATTTCTCCAGAGTAAAGAACACAGCTCGCTGTTCACTGGACTCCAGGGTACAAGCTCCTCCGGGAGTGAAAGCTCACCAGGGCTGGCTATTTCTGACCCCACCATGAGGAGCTGCAAATATAGTGAAAGAATGAGACTGGTGAGAGGACAAATGCCCAGGCAGGAGCAGAGACCTGTGCGCCTGCCCTGCACCACACGCTCAGGGTGCCTGCCAGCTGCTTCCTGCTTCAACAACGGTCTTATTTGAAGACTCTCTTTACCTGGATTAGAGTTTCTTTAGGGCAATGCTTCTTATACAGGGTGAGCACCGAATCACCTGCAGAGCTTTATTTAAGTGCAGAAGCCCAGGCTGCCCCATGCTTATGAAATCAGGCCCAGCTATGAGGATTTTGAAACACCTGCAGGTGAGTGGGGATGGAGAGGGTACTGTGTCCACCTGCTCCGGGAGATCCATGAGGCTGACCTCCTGTGCATTCCTTTCTCCAACGTGCTCTGAGGAAAATGACTACGACTCTCAATTTTGGCAAGTACTTACTGATAGGAATGCAATAACTGCTCACTAAGGCAGGAAGTGCCACACCCCC